AGGACAAATTTCTTTAGGTTACCGTTTACAGGTGAATGGTCTTAAATCTGGGGCAAATCTTCTATTGACTCTGTCGATTAAAAGAATTCCAGTTTGAGAAATAACCTGAAGTAGATTGCAAAAGTTGGTTGCCCAGAGTTTCTGTCAAGAAGTGGTGCATTACTTTCAGTTGGTCCCGAGGGGAAGACTTCGTCAAGTAGCTGATCAGAGATTGAAGCAGTTCAAGTCGATAAGTATGGTTATGAAGTAACCCACTTTCAAGATATGATCCAACTACTCTAAGGTTATGTTGTCTTCAAAAAAAAAAAACCCCAAGCTTTCATCTCTCCGTGAGCATGAGGTAAAGGAAAAGATTTGTCAAGATTTTGTTGAACAGGGGCAAGCGTGTCAAATATTCCATCGAGTAGGTATTCAACCAAATCTGAGGCATTCAAGTCGGGATTTTATCCCTCAAAGTACAGTCAAACTGGGGCAGTTATGTCGAGATTTGACAAATATCTCTGAGAATGCGTTAGTCAGAGGAGAATCTCCCTAGAATTTGAAGATGTATGGGCATTCACTCAAGCATAGTTGGAATCATCCCCAATTTTGGTTATCTAAAACATCATGTTCCAAAGTTCGTAACACTGGGGCAGATTGTCTTCAACAATATAAATCTCAAAAAGTCCTCTCGAGGCAATTTTTCTGCAAAAAAACCTTACAGACTGGGGCAAGAATTTATGTAAGAGCTTTCTCTCTTCTTCAGTGGTTGATCTGATCACGTCCATACGCAGTGAACTATGAATTTGAGAATCATGCCGAGAAGTCAGGATTGTTATCTTCGTCTTATTAGAGACTCAAGTCCATTTGCTGATATCCTTTGTCCGAAGTCAAGGTTATTACCCCCAGTTGAAGTTTGGATTGTTATCCTCAGTAGGATATGAGCAGTAACGCAAAGATTATTTAGGTTTGTTTACTCGTACAAGACGTGATGGAAATATTGTTTCCTAGGGATATGCCGCTTCCCAGTAAAAGACCTGTTGCTACTCGACAAAAATCTGTCTACCAAGGGGTTTCTCTTCTAAGATATTTTCTCCCCAGTGAAGCATCCCCATTTCTCTGCAGGAGGAGAATGTTCTTTCTCCCTGGAAATGTAGAAGTTGTTTAAAGTCTAAATGATTCTTTTTCATCAGACTGTAATTTATTTTTGCAGCATCTTCTTTAAAGTCCACTTTTTAGTGGCATTTCTCCTCGGAGTCGACGCATTGAAGTTGAAATTTTTCATCGCAGTTTTTACCCAGTGATTTATTAGTTCAAGTTGTCTATTCTTCAGTAAGGTTTTCCATTCTAAGCAGGGGCATGTTGCCCTAACTTCTGTTTTTGGAAGTACTGTTGATCTCGTGCAACCAGAAGCATACCAACAAATGAATCAGGAAGGGTCTGTATGTGACTAACATGAGGATTTTCGTATAATGAGATCCAATTTCCACAATGGAACTATTCTTCTTTCCCTAATGGAGTAAGTGTCATATCTCTCAGGTGAGATGTGCAGAAGAATTCTAGTCACAACTCTTCAGTTACCAGTGGTAGAAAATTTTGTTGAGATATCCCTAGTGGAGTTTCTATCCCGGGATGTTCATTTCTTCCCCGAATAAGGATCTTTTACCTCCCAGCAATGATATCCCCAGTGTGGTCTAAGTAGAATTCTTTTTATTTAAGAATTTCTATACTCCCCAACAGAAGTCATCTTTGTCAAAGAATTCCTATGCCAGAAGTTTCTATTCCCAGAAAAAAATTTCCTCTTTCCAATAGAGGATAAGGAACTTGTTCCCCGTGAAGGTGGGAGTTTGATCAGAATTCAAGATTTTCTTTGAACCATAATTTATGTTTACAGTATTCTTCCCAGGAAGTTATTTCCCCAGTGATATCGATATTTAGGGGTTGACGGTTCCAAATCTCGGTTCTCCATTGAAGTACAAATTACCTTTTCTCTATAGAAGATCCGATGTGCAAGAATAATTGTTCGGAAGTTCTTTGTCTTCTCAGCAGCCGATTGTTGACTTGTTTTCTTAATGCATTGCATCTAAACATGCATCATTACATTGCATCTACTAAAACGCGTAGCATTTCCATTGTATGGAGCATTACGCCATAAAAAAAATTCAAACATGCATGAGTATAAGCCAATTGTATCCACCTGTGGTAACCAGATTGTTATACGCTCATATTTGATTTATCTCCACAAAAAGCCTAGGGTAATTCTATTATGTTTCCCCAGCAGAGTTTGTTTGGATTCACCATCAGTCGGGTCTTTGGTATTTCTCCATTTCCCCAGTAAGTTTGTGGTTTGTGCTTGCCTTTACAAGCCTTTGGTTATTTCACCTACGTTTGCTTTGTCGTTAGAGTGTGAGTAAGAGTCGGTGTATAACCTTTCTTGCTTCTCAAGTGTTTGAGTATCCATACTTGGTGTGTGGTAATTCAGATAATTGCCACTTTTGAAGAACTACACCTGCCTCTGGCCTAAGGGATTTTATCCCTTGCGTATTTGCAAACTATCGAAAGCCCAACATATAATGGCAACTTTTGTTAGAGTCTACTTTGACCAGCCTCTTTCTCTTGTAGAGTCCACCTTCGATCAGTGCTCTTTAAAGGTCATGCTTAGTCGGTCCCCTGTTTTGGTTTATTCATATTAGACGGGTCCTCCTTTCGTTAGCCTAGCTAACCTTTTATGTTAAGAGTCCTTCAGTATCTCTTCGAAGTCCAGTTGTTTGGCGTCCCCGTTCAGGCGAGTGCGTCCTTTTATTGGGGTTTCCTTCGGTTAGTTTCGTGCCGGTGTTCACTATCAACTCTAAACATTTGTTTCTTGATGATCAATTTCGCTTTTCTGTATCTAGCTCTGACCAGATATGCATACCTTTATCTTTCGAAATCCCGCTTCGGCTGGTACCCTTTGTTAAAATCCCGCTTCGGCTGGTATCTTTCAAAATCCCGCTTCGGCTGGTACCCTTTGTTAAAATCCCGCTTCGGCTGGTATCTTTCAAAATCCCGCTTCGGCTGGTATCTTTCAAAATCCCGCTTCGGATGGTACCCTTTTTCAAAATCCCGCTTCGGCTGGTACCCTTTGTTAAAATCCCGCTTCGGATGGTATCTTTCAAAATCCCGCTTCGGCTGGTATCTTTCAAAATCCCACTTCGGCTGGTACCCTTTGTTAAAATCCCGCTTCGGCTGGTATCTTTCAAAATCCCGCTTCGGCTGGTATCTTTCAAAATCCCGTTTCGGCTGGTATCTTTCAAAATCCCGCTTTGGCTGGTATCTTTCAAAATCCTGTTTCGGCTGGTATCTTTCAAAATCCCGCTTCGGCTGGTATCTTTCAAAATCCCGCTTTGGTAGGTATCCTTCGCTAAAAATCCTGCTTCGGCCGGTGTCATTTCTTTTGAATCCACCTTCGGCTGGTATCATTTTTCAGGAGTCCCATTCGTTTGGTCTCCTCCCTCAGTAAGTTCTCCTTCGATTGGTGTTCCTTTGTGAGAGCTTGCTTCAGCCTGTCTCTTTCGTACGTATCTGATACCGACCACAGATATGTATCTTTTTTATCTCTTCTGTGCGTATCCACTACCGACCATGGATATGTATCTTTTCTATCTCCTTCTTACATATCCGATACCGACTACGGATATGTATTTTTGATGTCTCTTTCTTGCGTATCCGCTACCGACCCCGGATATGTATCTCTGATACCTTCTTTGTTATGTCTGCTACAAATTTCAGGCATATATCTTTTGATATCTTTCTTACAGGTATTTGTTACTAAATCCCAACGAGTGTTCCTCGATAACCAAAGTTATTCTTCTGTGTGTCAAACTCTGGTTAAACATACATCTAACTCCGATAACCCCTTTAACCTAGAAAGCAAAAAAAAAAACAAAAATATATATATATATATAATACAGAAAACCAAAAATATAGTGTATACCTAACTGGATTCGGAGCGCAAATTTTCGGGTTCCTTTAGTATTTCATCTTCTTCTACCTTGAAAGTTCGAAAGGCTGGCGCCAATCTCACCTTCAGGTCGAAGGCGATTAAATAGGGGCAGCTGTTGCACCCCAAAATTTGCCCTCCTAATTTCTTTTATCTGGCTTAGAATCTTGCATTCATATTCCATTAGGTCATTAACATACATTTGCATTCAATAAAGCGCCTAAGGTTCAAAGTTCAGTGGTTGTGAGATATTAGGGTTTCGTAATGATTAAGGCGTTCGTGTCTGATAAAGGCTGATTTCTTATTCAGGCAGAGGGCAGTGGAATTAGGGTTGTGACCTGGGTCGTTGAGAATTTCTTTCTTCATCAAGACACAAGGCAATCATGGTTTATTTTCCTATATGCGATTAAAGCCAGGTTTTCGGTAATTGTGGTCCAATCGGGTTTTTCGTCGAAGATCATGAGATTATGGTTTGTTTATTAAAGGACTTTCTCAAAGAGCCTTATATTGTGCGACAGGAAGTATCATCTTCAAGGAAATTTCTTAAGTATTTTAGCCTTACATTTTCAAGTAGACATATTTGTGACTTGAATTACAAAAGTTGAAGCACAATATAAGATATGACGCGGGAGAGTGCTAATTGAGTTAGACAAACATGAATAAAGGCTTTGATTTTGGGCAATTGCGATATGGAGAGGTTGTTGTCTGGACTGAGTTCATGCATGAATATTATTGATTCGATTGAATGTTATGACATGTCTTGAGTTTAGGACTAGTTCATTGAATATGCAAGTTGGTTGGAATTCGTTCACCGAGTCATGAAGTGAAGTGCTTATAGGATAATCAAATAGTACTAAAGAAGTCTAAGTATTGGTTTATTTTCGAGAATTTGATTCAAGCGAGTTTGGAGACCTTAATCATAAGGGTTTCTTGGAATGCAAAAGATGAGATACAAAGAAGCAAGCGTGTTTTCGATGCCATTGAAAACCCTTGTGAGATATCTTTATGGGATGGCCTTATGGCAGGTTACACTAAGAATTACATGTATGTGGAAGCCTTGGGACTTTTTGATAAGTTGATGTGTTATCCTTATCTGAAACCTGATAGCTATACTTATCCGAGTGTTCTTAAAGCCTGCGGCGGGCTTTGTAGAGTTGTGTTGGGACAAATGGTACATACTTGTTTGATAAAAACTGGTTTAATGGTGGATATTGTAGTTAGAAGTTATCTTGTGAGTATGTATGCTAAATGCAATTCGTTTGAGTATGCTATACAGATGTTTGATGAAATGCCTGATAAGGATGTGGCGTGCTGGAATACGGTGATTTCTTGTTATTATCAAATCAGGAAATTTGAAGAAGCTCTGAGATACTTTGGCATGATGAGAAGATATGGATTTGAGCCGAATTCAGTTACAATCACAACTGCTATTTTGTCTTGTGCTAGGCTTTTTGATTTGGAGAGAGGGAGGGAAATTCATAAGGAGTTGATTAATAGTGGGTTTTGGCTGGATTCTTTTGTTAGCTCTGCCCTTGTTGACATGTATGGAAAATGTGGTCACTTAGAAATGGCTATAGAAGTTTTTGAGCAAATGCCTAAAAAGTCTATTGTTGCTTGGAATTCCATGATTACAGGATATGGTTTTAAAGGCGACTGTTTTTCATGCGTTCAACTTTTTAAGAGAATGTACAATGAAGGAATCAAACCAACTTTGACTACTTTGAGCAGTATATTAATGGCTTGTTCACGATCAGTGCAACTACTAGAGGGAAAGTTTGTTCATGGATATATAATACACAACAGAATACAACATGATATTTTTATTAACATTGATAACACGAATTTATATAACATATTTGGCTTAATTTTCATAGATAATATTAGTATTTTTATCTTTTTATTCTATTTTATTTTTGTATTACGTTGGTATTTCTTTTGTTTCAGGTATTTGTATTAAATAAAAGATCAATTGAGCAAAGAAGATAAATTGAGGGAAAATCGGATTAAAAAGCCAAAGAAATGAAGCAAAAGGGGTGATATAGCAAAAAGGAGGAATTAAGAAGAAAGAAATAATTACACAAAGAAAAAGACTAAGCCCAGAAGAGCAAAAGCCCAACAGAAGTTCAGTCCACAAGGTGTTACGACCGTAACAGCCTTGTGACGACCGTAACACGCTAATAGCCTTGTGACGGCCGTAACAGACCTGTGACGACCGTAACGCGCTATATTTCAACTTCCTCACGTTATGGAGACGTGTCCCATGTTCTCCCATGATTCTGGTAGTTATTCCCATGTTCTCCCATGATTCTGGTAGTTATTTCCATGTTCTCCCATGATTCTGGTAGTTATTCCCATGATCTCCACTAGCCTTCGTACAACATGGAAACGGGAAGTTACAAATGAAGCCTATAAATACAAGTTCAATCTTCAGAGCAAGGGTCGACAATTTTTACCGAACAACCGTTATTTAGTCTTTCTTTATTTTTTTGTTTTCGTATTTACTTTTCAGTTTTGTATTTCTACCATACTTTTCTAGTTCAGTTTCTTTCTTTAGTTTTTATTTTAGTTTAAGTTTCTATAATTTTCACTGATCTAACCTTACGTTAGACCTAGTGCTTTTTATTTCTTGTCGTAATTTTTCTTTTCAATTCAAGAAGTCTTCGAGCAGATCCAACCGACTTGTGGGGGAATGCTCGTTTATTTCAAAGAACAAGATTATTCAAGCATTATTATTATTTCCAGGTTCTTAATATAATTATTTTATTTTATTTAAGTATTGTGCTTGGTGTTTATTTATTTGATTATGGGAATGTTTAAATATATTGAACCTTATTATTTATGCATGTCCGAATTAATAAATATGTCCGGCTAAATCGTTTAGGTATCGGTAAGTAATAGTAGTAAGAGTAGGAATTAAATTGTTCATAAGTTAAAATACTAATTAACTTAATTTCTGGTTATGACTTTTTATAATTAAAACTACGCTTTTTGTTACGAAAGTAAGGAAAGTAAATAGGTTAGATCGAGACCACGAAAGTGTGAGGTTTTTAACCGGATAGCTAAAGTTAGGCATTTGATTTAAATACAGTGAAAGCGCTTTAAACCAAATTAGAATTAATTAATTTTCCAAAAAATACTTCTAAACACTTATAGGCTAGCGAAAGCAGGTATAGGGCTTTAGACGTATAATCCGAGATAAGACCACGAAAGTGTGAGTTGAGGGTTTTTAAACTGATTAATTCTACAGAACAATTAAGTTAACCATCTTTATACGCTTAAGTTCAATTTAAGCCGCTTAGGTTCACTACTTTACGTACCGATATCCGTTTTATTTATATTTATATTCCTTAACCAATATTTTAAAAGAACTATTCGCCTTAGCTGTGTACCGTAACTTAGGATAACAATAGATCGATTTATAGTCTCTGTGGGTTCGATATCTTTTAAAACTACGCGATAGGACTGTGCACTTGCAGTCTCCCGATTAACAGACGATAAAGTCCTTCGATCAAGTTTTTGCGATCAAGTTTTTGGCGCTGTTGCCGGGGACTATTTAAGTTGATATTGTAACTCTGGTGTTACACCGTATAGACTAAGGCACCTTTACTTTATTTACTATGTATAACCCAAATTTTTCCTACGCCCATTATCAGTATTTTGAGGAACCACAAGAATATCATAGATCCAACCTTGAAATACTGATGGAAGATTTCAATGCTTCACAAACCTACTCTTACCCAAATTACCTCCAAAACTACCAATCCCCACATTTTGAGGAACCACAAGAAACTTATAATTTCAACCAAACTTTTCCTCAACCCAATTCTCTCTATAATTACCACACCCAATATTTTGAAGAATCACCTGAACCATATAAATCTGATCTCGAAATATTAATGGAAAATTTTAATGAAACATCTAGGATGATAAAACACTTAGGGGAAACACAAAAGGAGACTTTAACTTACTTCCAAGACTCTGAAGAATCGCAAGATTTTAACTTCGAAACACCAATAGAGGATTCTGATGAGATGATAACCAACGCTAGGTTAGAGTCTATGATTGAGCATTTTGTAGAAACACAAACTGTCCAAAATGAAGAGGTAAGAAAACAAAGTTTTCAAAATAATGAAGACCTTAGCCAACTAACCGTTGTGGTTGAGTCCCTCACGACTCACAACTTGGCCTTAGAAACTCAAATCTCCCAACTGGAACAAAACCTTCTAGGACCATTCCCCAAAGAAGATGTGGATGTTGAAACAACCATTATAGAAAAACTATTTGAAAATCTAGAGAGTGATGATGAGTTTGAAGAGAGTGATATTGCGGCCAAGGAAAGTTCTGACGAGAAAATAGTGGAGATTGAGACAGATTCACCAACGCTGTTCGAAAAGGAGGTTGTAAACGAGGTAGAGAAGGAAGCGCAAATTGTAATCCCAAATCACTACATCCCACTGATTTCTTTCCCGAAATTTTTTATGGAAACTCCGGTAGACTCCCAATTTAAAACGTATGTTGAGGTAAAAAATATCCACATTAATGTACCACTATTTGAAGTCTTGCCTAAAAAGCGAAAATTAGAGGACCATAAAATTAATGGTATAATTGCTGTTAAAAGGGTGAGGTTAACTTATGAGGCGATGGATGAAATCACTAAGCCCAAATTTGAAAAACTTATACTTATGATAGATCCAGAACCACTACCACAATTTCGAAAGAATAAACCACCCTACAGAAGAAAGAAAAGAAAAGGTGAGGGATATGTGAGATGGCTTGATAAGTGGCCATGGAAAATCAACCAGTAGTCGTCCTGGTTTCTAATTTTAAATTTTCTCTTCCATATTTTCATTTTTTTCCATTTTATGTTAAATTTTATATTTAAGTCGATTATCGGTTGCACCCTTTCATCTGATGCGTTTGAACTATTTCCCCGTAATACCGATAATTATACTCAATTAAATAATTCACGTTCATATTTATAATTATAATTGAGTATTATTTTAATTATCGTATTTCCCCGTCTCGTATTAATATACTGAACTAATACTTCCCAATATTTATAGTATCAATCATAATGCATTATATACTAGTATTATATATATATATATATATATATATATATATATATATATATATATATATATATATATATATATATATATATATATATATATATATATATATATATATATATATATATATATATATATATATATATATATATATATATATATATATATATATATATATATATATATATATATATATATATATATATATATATATATATATATATATATATATATATATATATATATATATATATATATATATACTATTAATTAAAATTCTAGATTTATCTATTATACATATATATATATATATATATATATATATATATATATATATATATATATATATATATATATATATATATATATATATATATATATATATATATATATATATATATATATATATATATATATATACTATTAATTAAAATTCTAGATTTATCTATTATACATATATATATATATATATATATATATATATATATATACAGTATGTAGTATGTATGCATGTGAGCTGAAATACAATTCCTTGTTCCTTATTCCGGTCGCCTCAAGTCCCCACATCATGCTCTAGAATATATCTGCACTAGTTTGAAAATAAATACTGGACGCAATAATGCTTTATAATGTATCTGTAGTAAGAAAGAAATGTCACAGAACAGAAACAACTTTGTTCTGCTAAAAGTTACAAAATTTGTAGCTGTTACGACCGTCATGCCCGTGTTACGACCGTAACACGGGTTATATCAGTTACCCCTATAGCATACAGAATCTCTTCTTCTTCTTCAACCTCCCACTCTTCTTCTTCCACTACCTCCATAACCGTCCCACTACGTCCATAACCCCCGCCTCAGCTCGTGCTTCTCCAGATGCATGTTGTCTTTTCTGCTCCCTTGACTGACTGTTTGTTTCGTCCTTTTCTTCTTTTCATTTTCCCACATTACTCCCATTCAACTCTTATTTACTCTTCCATCAAAATATTCTTCTTATTCATCTTCCACCATAATTCTTATTCAAACTTTCCCTCTTCATTTCCCAACACATTATTATTATAATAATTCCTCTTCAATCTTAACCCTCTATAAACACTCTTCTACATTTCTTCTCATTTCACGTCCCTTCCATCTAATTCTCATATACTTTCTCTCATCCATTTCATTTTCTACCATTTTATCCTTCATTTCATACTCTTCCATGGCTCCACGAAACACTCAACGTCAAGTGAGGCCAGACCGACCACCACCCGACCTATCCACGATTATATTCTGAGAAGACGATGATGGACAACAAAGAGGAAAGTACATGAAATTCTATTCCCGTTCGGTTGTCCCCACTAAATATGTGGACACCGATTGTTTGGATGCCTTGGGTAGGACGGAAAGCATCACTTTTATGCTTACGAATACGAGTTTGTTAAGTCTCTGTTTAAATCCTTCTCCAACCTTCGAACCGCTCGTGCTTGAGTTCCTCAGTTCATTCTCATACAATACGCCTCCCGACGATCCATTCACAACCGGTACCGCGAACTTCCGCATGTTTAATCAAGAATATTCAATTGATCAAGAAAGAGTCGCTGAACTTTTAGAATTCACTAGAGGTCCGACCGTTCATTGCAAACCTTTTGACCCCGAAGGCGACATTTCTTGGGATAAAGTTGGTTTTTCCCTTTGGGATGATCTAACCGGTCAACCCACGGAAAGTTGGCGAGATCTTTGCGCTTCACATATTCATAATCCCGCTCTGAGGTACTTTCATCGAATTCTCGCAAACATCATTTTTGGGAGGACCAATAATCACAAGGTCAACCAAAATGAGATGTTTCTTATTTTCTGTGCCCTCAACGGTCAAGCTGTCAACGCCGCTCCCTTCATGCTTAGCCACT